CAAGCCGAGCACACTCCCATACCGATATTTGGCTACCCTTGCCGTAGTGAGTAAATAGATGTACTGAACTGAAAACTATTTTATGATCTAATCACTGTTGCCATATTGGCGTGAAACCTGTGGTTGCTAGTATTTTGACACGGCGTTGAAGTCGCCCCCGACCACAGTAGAACTACGAAGTTTCCACTGAAATAAAGTGTTGGTAAAACACGAAGTAATACAGATTGAGTGCCGTCAAGAAGTCAGCTGTTCGTCACGAATTCGGGGAATAAAGTCAATTAACTGGTATCTCAAAATACAAATAACGTTGTCTCTTCCTTCTCCTCTCCATCTACCTTTTCTTTCTCTACTCCAAGCGCCTCGCTGATGAGCTAAGTCAGATCCCTGTCAGTGTCCTAACAACAATCTGAATACCGCAATTAGATAGAACAATTCATACTGCCCAAATATAATCCTTTTACCGACATAAAGGCTCGGAGTATCCGCTAGGCCCAGAGCGTGGTAGATATTTGCAAAGGTCGTTCCAGCTACTCGTACAAAGCAATAGTCACAGGTAGGTCTATGGGCCAGAAATATCTTCGTAGCAATGTCACTTTTCCGGGTGAAAGTAATAACTTCAGGATAGTTTCACGTTTCTCCCGCTGGTTTGTGACAGTCAAATCCAGGATGACCTTTTGAAATGAATTGTCCATTCTTCTGCATTGTCCACGATTCTTATACCATGACAACGTGAGCTCTAGCTTCTCACGCCTGTTGCAACGCCATTTCCATGTTCTACCCGCCCTTTCCTACTTTCACTTTGTGAAATAGAAGGGTGCTAAGATTTCCGGTAGGATGGTTAGAGTTTGGTTTCCTACTCATTGACCACCCATCGTTGCTTCCGGGGTATCGATAACCTCAACAGCTTTACCCTTCCTTTCCCACGCCACTAGCGCAGCGTTAAAGTCTCGCTGGCCGCGCTCTCGGATGACTGGTAGCTCTGCTGGTGTGCGGGGAACTACTATTCCATTTGTTAAAGATTTAATCTGTCCATAACTCTGAGCATAATGATGGATAGTAAGACGAAGAATATCATGACCCGTCATTTAAGATAAAAGGGTGAGAAGGACATTAATTAGAAGATAGTACGATTTAATAAGGGGTAATTAGCCGAGAGTAGGTATGGGCATTGTGAATGTGGTCGAAAGCATCATTATATTAAAGAGGAGTCAAGTGCGATATTTATATATACACGTGTCATATCCCTGTTACTAATTACCAAACCCCGCACTGCCATAAACACCATCAATCTCTGCTATCCATCGCAATCCTGAGTATCAATATGAGTTACTATTATACTGTATGTTTGTACGGGTCGATATCAAGATAGAAATGCTGACACAATTATGTGTTCTCGGCCGGGCCATACAGATGAGGTCAGTTGACTGATGAGTTCCCTGCACAATTGAAGTACTTTGGTACCTTTGCCGGACACTCCTTTGTTTCGGAGAGTCTATCATTTTACTGTGTAATTTTCTTGTCGCGCCTCTCCGTTGCTGAGTCATTATCCTGATGACTCAGCCAACACCACGAACTTCACGTTCGTAATTTTCTTAGATAGAGCAGATGGAGACAACTGTTAAGGAAATAATGGCTTCAGTCATTGAGGTTGTAGAGCACATTCATATGGGTAACTGCCGAAGTGCAACCAAGTACAGGTTTTGTATTCATGTTTGTGTCAACAACGTAGCCTACTTGATAGCCCCAATTATTTTAACTTGTAACAATAACGCACATTTTCACTTTGGAACCTTGATTTTTGCATCGCACTAGCTCTGTGAATAAACACGTTAAATCCAATCGATAGGGAAATCAGTTGTGTATTCTACACACGCCTGTCTTACCCACAATCGAAAGTACCAATTTCAACAGAAACTGTATCTTCAGACTCGGTCCCCATCTCGGTATCAGGGAAGCCCCGTACCCAGTAGTTTGTGCTCTTCCCCAGCTACTTTTCATCCTCAAATGACCACCGTTTTGATGGTTAATAAGGGTAGATAATGAAAGTCAAAGGACTCCTTTATGTGTATTATGGGATGAAGAGTTGTAAGTAGTAGTACTAGAGAGATAAGGGTAGTAAAAGAGATATCGAATGGCATATACTACCCTAGCTTAAGGCCTACTTGGACTGTAGACATAAATAATTCTCTATCCAATGTGGCCTTTGACTGAGAAAGGAGAAAAGGTAAGAAAGAGGGTCACTTAACATATAGAGGACACGCTGCCGGTGCATCATAAATAGATGGCGCTATTGATTTAAAATAATGATGAGCAGCAGGAAATATTCTCGAGGGCGAATGTTGAGTGATTACTGCTGAGTAGAAGATAGAAAATAGCGTAACAAACAAGATAGCTTTACACTCGGCAGCGTCGAGCATTTAAGTTGTAGCATTTGACTTTTGGAAATATACTCGTTGCAATATTACATAAATATACGATTGAACAGTTTAGGTTTATTAACTAACTCTTGGATACGAGACCTGAATAAACATCTATTAGACAGGGCCAACTAAATATTGTATTTAGGGGAGTAATATGACTGCATTACAATAAACTGTTCACATTAGAATAATGTGCACATGCGCCATGTGATATGATTGACCTAGATCATCACTTATTGGTATGATAAAGTTTTTCTGAATAGATTCCTATGGGTATCTATTGGCGCAAGGATCTCTCACTTCCTTCTATTCTCGGTTAGACAAAGAGATATGTTGGAACATCCGCTTACTTGTAGAAGCCCCCATATTCATGTAAATAGAGTAACTTCTTGCCACCTGATAATGTTGAAAGTCATGCGATAAATCTGTAATTGTATCACGTGTCTCGCTTAGAATTCCACACTTTCCGTAATTGTAAAGTGTGTAGATAATTGTAAGAACAAGAAAAGGAGCACCAATAGTTGTAGTTATAATACACACAATAAATTATATATATATATTTATATTATAAGGAATCTGATTTCGAGAGCAAGTATCCACACGCAGCTGAATGTATAGCTGGTATGCAGTATACTCTTAACTCCACTGTCGCATAAATAACAACAGATAACATATGCAATACATACAATAGAATTCATAAAAAATTTCTACATTATTCACACACTTGAGAAAACCCGGGAATTTCCTCAAGCTCGTTCATTGATCCAAGTCCTAAGAGTATAACTCACGAACAAAACTTCTTTCAAGACCAAAGCTACCTCCTTCCATACTTTCATCTTAACGGCTCGTCATTTGGGCTCAGCATAGCCTTTAAATTCTAGTCTCAAATGCCCATTGTATAATGAGATGACTAGGGATCGTTTATCTATCATGATGAAGTGTTGGAATTTGCCACATTTCTTACGATAATCGGCATTCCTTTCAAATATGAACAACTTTCCTGCATGCTGCATAATACATCCTGTATTCTTCATTTTGATTTCTTTTCGCTGTTGAGATACTCTTTCATGTATTTGCATGAGCGGGCTAGTATGATACTAGATGCAAATGCAGTGAGAGACATGATCATGTTTACTCTGCGATGAATATGATGGCGTTAATGGTGCGAGGTCAGTACTGTTTTATTCCCCGCAAAATGGCTTCGTGGTCAGCTATGCTGAAGACTTTTTATTAAAGTTCTAGGGGGTATCTGGAATGATAGAAGTGAACGTTGACCGTCAAGTCAATACTGTAGGAATCGTAAGATATTGGGGATTTAAAGATCAGAGATAAAAGGTTAGGATCAGTGAGGTTTTGGTTTTACTGAACTTATATTTCGGTAGTTAAAAGTGCTCATGTTTAATCTACATCTAATTGTCTATCTATGTTCTACCTCGCTTAGGTAGAAACATTTTGTTCTGATTCCGTGATGGAATAACATTCACACTACCGAGATCATCACCAACCGAGACCTCACCAAAGTTGGTAGCGATCGAAGATAAGTAGTCTTCGTCTACTCCGCACTGCGTGCAGTTCGGTCTGGCATGTCTAGATTTCAACACTTTTTACTGTAATAATTGTTGTTCGCATACCCACTTTCATTTTAGGATAAGCGCACATAAATTCGCGTTTTACATGTAGCTTAGAATTTCAATGAAAACAATATTCTTTGAGCTATAATTTCTGCTCCTCTTAATCTAAAATCGCAACATGAAGCCCCATGCATCCTAGTACGGGAATATCTAAACGTATATGCGGCAGTTGTTGTAATTAATGCAGCTGATGCGTGAAAGAGGTGATACTAACGTCGAAAGTCTAAAGCTCTAACAATAATAAGCCCTGACATTTATATGATGGTCTGAAAAGGGCCCTGGATTTTTGAGCACACGCTTATAGAGACAACCGTGAATCTTCCATGTAGATGACAAAAAGGTCCATGCCTTAACTCCTGACGATCTTCTCGATACATAGTGTACCAGAATACTCGAGAGATATTGTTCGGAGACTGGAGTAAATTCAAATTAGACTGAATCAAATTTTATTCGAAAAAAGGTAATTACAGTTAAAACAAACTTAATAAAAATCGCAAAGTCCAATCAAAATTATCACTACCACAAATTTACAACCTTAGCTTCCTTGTCAATTTTGTTGCAAGAAAATATTCCACACACCCAGTAACACAACTTTGCCGCATAGCAAAGTCCTCTAATTCAAAATAAATCTTCAGCAATAGACCGTCCAGATACTTTCCAGCTCGATACTAGCGGCCCTTCATCAATATTGAAGCATACCCTGCTAGAAAATTTTCTGGAACAGTTGACTAAGTTTAATCGGACATAGTGAGCAGATTCCTATTTCAGGGATATTAGAAGGCTATGTGTCATAAGTTCTTCACTAATATGCTCAAAATTCTCTTGATTCCGAGTCTTTATAACCTGCATAACTTTGGGAATAAAAATTTCTGGTTCCTCATCTATGAAGATTGTAAACTGAATTTCTTTAGGTCGGGCTGTGCCAGAGCCAGTTATAAGATTCACAATATCAGTTCTGCTCAACGATACCTACACGTCTACGATCTATAGTCCGAAAGCCTTGATGAGCCTTGAAGATGCTAGATCTTGTGATAGTAGGAAATGATGGTCTAATTAAATCCGGCGAAGGTATGAGCTGAGGCACCGTAGCGTAGGCAGAAGGGAGATGAGTTCTGAGTTTTCCTTGAGTTGAAGTTAAAAAGTTGCTGCTGGTTGCAACTTGTCTAGCAATATTTGTTTTTGTGGCAGTATGTGTGAGTGGATTATTTTGCGTTTGACCGATAGATGATGAGCCGCCGAGTCCTGGGAAGACTCCTTGCAAGATGCTATTCAAAAACATTCCGTCTATAGATGGTATATATTTTGGTAGCGGGCCACGTAAGATATTTTCAAGGATACCGTGCTCTAGAGAGTAGGGGCCTGATGGTTGACTTTGATCACTAGAAGGTCTTGATGTAGAAGATGAAGCTTTTGTCAAATTAATGCTTGTAGAGTTCTGACTGGAATGACTCATGGTTGTAGTAGGGGATAAGGTTGATGATTCGAGGTTGATTCTAGCACTTGAATCCAGAGGTTTTAGATTTGGCTCCGACGTATTATTTTGGTACTTTGGAGTAGATATATAAGGTTTAGTAGATATTGATGTGCTTTGACCGACCTCTGAATCAAGAAATGACGGAGTAGGGACATCATCTGACGGAATATTAGAATCAAACTCCGAGGTGTCGGATGGAATAGAGCGGCAATCATCAGCAGTCAACGTAATATTAACACATTTTGATTGTCCGACAATAGGAGCAGAATAAATGTTCCATTCTTGATATGAAGTTGGACAGGCAAAAAAATTAGGACTCTGCTCATAGTATAAAATACCATCCTCAGCTATTGAAAACCCATTTGTTGGGCTTACTCCCTGGTCACATTGAAACTGTCTAACTTGAGCTTAGAAGCAAGTCAGCAGCGAGATTTCGTTCAGGAATTATCAGTACTCACGAGTGAAGATACAGCCATATCCGGCAGAGTCAATAATATCTCCATCGCTGATTCTAAATGGAGATGGATAATGGAAATGATCACCACCAGTCCTAATCTGACCGTTACTTGTCTGCCAAATTGACCCGGTGCGGCCCTCGGATGCGAATAAGCCAAAAGTACAATCATCAGATGCCATGGCCACTGTTACGACCAAAATTAGCGGGACACAAATGAACAGCATCATAAGATATGAAGTCGAATCTAGATGAAAAGAGGATAATAAATTATTCCACGGAGTCTGGGCGAGGAAAGAACTTATAAAGGTTCATTAGCCAAGCTCATAGCAATTTTCCACAATCTAAAACACTAGTTCGGCAAGCAAACTGGAGAGCTTGATTCTCGACATGAGTGGGATACGTCTAATTGTTGCTATTTGACCTAGTCTGTGCGTGGGGGGCGAGAGAGGCGGTAGTTTTCGAAGATATCCTAAAACTTTTCCATGCAATATATGGTGGGTCCAACTGCTCCACCGGATCATCGGCAAGAGTCTGGTCTGCACAACTAGGTATTGAGAGTGATATTTTAAGCCACTGAGACGAGCCTTAGTATTATCCGATTTTTTTATCTGAATTATGATAAGTGGTCAAGTGTACTTTAACTCCCAAAGAATAATTATAGATAGATTTTATGTGTGAATCACATGCAACATCAAGCGACAGACGGAATTTTTCCTGTGAGAAGTTTTTTCCAAGCTCTTTTCTTTTGTCTCAATAAAGGATTTATCCTTTTTTAATAAATCACGAGCAGTGATTTTTGAGTTGTCGCTGAGGTGATTTTGCTTGAGAAGAGCCGGGTATTGGTAGCTAACATTGACGACAGTAGAGAATCATGTGCCGCTTATTTTCCAATATTCGTAAAACTCCATCCCCAACTAAATCGCACTCCAACAGGCCATTTTTTATCTCGAAGCTTTTACATTCGGAATCATATTGGTGCGAATAGTTAATTTGCTAGTGAGTGATTCGATAATGAAATTGGAACTGCATATCGAATGTCAAATTTTAGCAAGTTGCTGAAGGCCCACCAACCGTATAGTCCGCATGTTACAAGTTTTTGAACAAAAAAATATGGGTATTGTTAATTTGTGGGTTTTCACAATTGCCAAATTTCAAACGTAGAAGAACTCTAGCTACAATACATGCATCCATGACCAGTAGGTAGAGACGACACGTGATTTGTGGTGCAAGAAGGGGGAAAAATATTATTTAGTCAAAGCAAGCAGGGAATTCCCTCGATTCTGGGCCTTCCAGAAGGACTTGTAGCTTTTGGTAAATGGCTTCATGATACCTGCTTTTTCATAGCAATGCCACAGCGACACTAGCTAGTACTCCAACCTTTTAACCCTTGACCTGCATTCGCTAGAGATCAGATTAAAAAACTGTTGGTCTAGGTGACGGATAATTTTCCAATTAATATAGATAAATATTTTCTGTGCTTTATTGAAAACCGTAGGTCTCAGCGGTGGAGTACTTTTGACTTCGTTTGATAGTTCCGGATGCACGGCACGATGGCCTTTGCCTATTTGTAACATGTGATTCTGTCAAGTGACACGCGGCAATGGAATTTTCCACATAGCCTTAGGGAAGATAGAGTGGAGAACAAGAACTATTGTCGACATACTGCTAGCAATTACTCAGAGAATAGGCCAACCCATGGAAGTCCCGACTTAAAGCGGAAAAGGCCACAATATGACCCGCGACCCTTCCTTTCAATACGGTAGGGGGACTATTCTCAACACCTGTCAGTGGTGTCCCCTACGAACCTCCAGCTCTCACTGTAGAGTCTGCAGAGCCGAGATTGAGTAACAAAGTCCTCACTTCGAAGAGGATTCCCAATCACTTTCGCGGTCTGTATCGTCTTCATCTCTCAACACATTCCCCTATCACCATTATCATGAAGCTAACCACGATCAGATCAGATGGTAGGGTCGGAGCCCTTCTCATCATCAACCCTTGATCATGGAGGAAAAGCTATCCGATGAGTTTCCGGAGTGTACTCAGCATCCGATACGGAGATTGTGGATTGGATCAAGTCGTCCTAGACTGTTGCAATTAAGGGAGATATAGATGAATATGCGGACCTCATGTGGTCCCGGTGTCTAGGCCTCGCCTGGCTGAGGCTGCAGGTTTTTTGAGACTTTCTCCCGCGCACGCAGTTTCCATTGCTACCATTTTTTTGGATAGATGGTTCCGTAGAATAGATGGCCGAATTCCACGGGTAAACACTGAGCTGAATGGCAATCCATCACGGGCAATATATCAATGATCTTTCAAGTAACAAAAGAGGCAAGGATCACTGTGTAAGGTGTGGCCTGGGTCAGAGAGGAGCCCAATGTGCTAGAAAGTCTAAGACTTAAGTAGTACAATAAACACACCTCTCTCACTCACCCTCTTAGCAATCTCGGTGTTGTGAGGGTCAACCAGAATCACGCTCCACCTGATGTTGGCTAACCCCAATTAGGTTAGATAGTCTTGACCCGTACAAGTAAGACACTCTCAGTTGTGCGGGCTGAATAGAATAGAAGATAAGACAGAAGCACGATTGAACTACCACATTGCAAAGCAGTACCTTTGATTGATACGATACTTTGCCGTATCAACACTGAACAGTGGTTGCACTGAATCACAGATCGGCAAGATAACTGTGTACAGAGAGTCTCCTCAGCTTGCTGAGATTTGACTCTGGAAAAGCGGACAACTTTCGCAACCTCTCCTGCTATAGACCTAGGAAGTAAAAAGTGGCGCGAAGAGCGGACTCGCCCGTTAAGACCGACAAGTTCAGCGCTTTTACGACGATCCTTAGCCCTACTACCGACTGAGTTGCGTCAAGCACGCATATCACCATCTACGAACAGCTGTAGTTATTAACCATGGTTTCAAAAGCATACAGGACTGAGTATGGTTCAGAGAAATATACACAACCGAGTATTCCAACAAAAATTACGACACCACAACCCCAACCATCAACAAGAAACATCTCGATATTGCTACTATCGACTGGACCATAATGGTAGAGGATAGTGGAGAGTTTGACGACTTCCTTCTAAGCGGATATTAAATCTATTCCTAGAAATGGACTGCTGAGCTATTCAATACTATTGAAACGCGAATACGTAGAGTGATGAAAGATTTATTTAGGGCACGAGGCATCTTTATACCAATCAATAAAAGAGAATCTATCTCCGACCAGCTCCCTAGCCTCCTCACTGTAGAAGAATGCCCTAAATGACCAGATAGGAACCCCAGAACAGCCATGCTTAATTCATAATTCAAATATCGGCAGATGGGGGGATGATAGGCCAACCAGGTAGTGTGCATGAAGGAGGACAAACTATACCGCCAGCAACTTATCCATTTTTACTGCAAGAGACCTCTTCAACTAAGCTTCCACAATCTCTTTAGGAAAACAATTGAAACGTAGGAGCCCTCACAGACCTTTCAAAAATGTACAGCGATGTCAATATGAAGTTTATTGGCAGCCTTCACGATATGTTAAATATCAAGCTCAACATATTTTAAGATCTCTGCACCAAAGTTAGAGTGAAGCAGGACCAAAAAATCTTGCATTCGGTATAATGTTGCGGGGCAAAGCTCAATCGTTTTACTACCAGCACCTCGTACAGAAATACCTATCCTTCCACACAATGGTTGATAAAACGAGAGCCTACTTTAATACGCTAGAGAATCATCGACTCTTCTTGAACGATTGGCGTACAATAATGCTCAGGGATATTGTCATTAATAACCCAGACAATGATTTCTCACAACGCCTTGAGATTGTCATTCAACGTCTATGTTGTAATGGAAGTTGTATAGAGAAGCTTAAGCTGTTAGGCTTATATCTAATATCACCTAGTGAAGCGAGTTGTGAGATTGAAGAGTCTAAAAACTATAGTGGAGAGTTATTGATTAAACCCACTTGGTATCAGAGTGCTATTTAAACTAATCATAACATCCAAATGAAGGACATAATTCGCTTGTTTACGCTAAATAATTGGGAGGCTGGTCCATGTATGAGTCGTCATGAAGGTGGTTAATAATACTAGAACCTTATTACGTACCATATTAATGCGACTCTTCATTTCCAGGTAGCGCCAATTTTAATAATCTGAAGTAGGTGTACCAGGTCCTCTCAAAACTTTGGAAGCCGTGAGGGCAGCCTTGAAGGCCAGCTCATCTCAGCCTGCCAGGGCGTACCAGCGTGTACAAGTGTTCTCATCCGACCATCAGCTACATTCGAGGGCGTAGCATCAAATCTACGTAGTGCTGTTGCAATCTGGATGGGATGCCAAGGCAACAATCGCACTCAATTCAACTATTGCAGTGAGTTCTAACAGGATACCAATACGTTCTATCCGAACCGACAATACGCTCGCGACAACAATTGTTAAGATTATGAGCACATACAGGTTGAATCTCTACCATGGAAGGATGCTATATGTGTTCGTAGAACACCAACGTAGATATAGAAAAGACTTGTGTTAACTGAGGAACGCTTGTATTCAGATGACTTTTACTTACTCCTACTGCTAGGAGATACATCTCATAATATACATGTCCTGGATAACCACATCACAGTTCCTACACTATCCAGTACATTCCATTCCATTCTACTCTATACTATTCGATCCCTCATCATACCATTCCATTACAAATCTATGATGCCCTAATTATGGGTTGCCCTCAAGTCCATGTCCTTGGACTTGCATGAAATATTGGCATGCATAAATCTGCACAGATCTGGGATCTCTTGGCAGATTATAACAACAATCAACCTCGAAACGACGATCGTCCTCGCTACGATGAGCATCCACGAAATTCACGTTTGTCAGGATTGCCTTCTGTATAATCTATATATGTGGAGATAACTAGAATCTAGTGTTCTATGATTCTGGTCTGGCCTTTTGGCCGAGCAGTTATGCACCTATCTCATGCATGATGTAGGATGGCGCCCTTTAGCCTGAAAACCACCTCTTTGACCCATGCCTCCGTCCTGCTATCTACATGCTGCTCTGACAACGTTCTAAACGCTTCAATGCTCGGCTTTCGGCCCCGAAAAGAGATAAAAAGTACTTTGTATGTGGTAGACAAGGATTTTGGTCAACACGACACTCGCGGGAGGAACACCAAGAACCCAAACAACGTTTCAATTCGTACGCTCAGACTCACGATAATATTCATGATG